AGACCAAGACTGAACATGTCTTCCTGTGTAACAGGAGTGGCTGCAGAAGTTACTGGACTGCTTTGCTGGGTATTCTGGTTTTGAAATTGGATTTCCTTGTTATAGAGTTTCACTATTCAGTGTTTTTATTTAGTAAGACTGCATGCACTCACTCAATATATAGCTGACATATGATGATGTTGGCTGCAAACATGTTGGGTCTGTTTCTGTTCTCACTTACGTGGGTTTTTTCTTTTTTTTCTTTTTTTGACATCAATGTCTGTCTACTGATTTCAGTAGTTACTCCAGATTTAACCAAAAGATTGAATCCCGCAGCCCTCACAAGTAGTGGACATGCTTCGCTTATTTATAATAAAATCCTAAGAGGCAACAAGAAACAATAGCTCCTCATAAATTCAGTTTGAGCTCGTGCCTAATGATGTTAACGACAGATGAGCTTCAAAGGAGAGAAGATCAGAGCTTTATTACTTTGAAATGGAGGCCAGTAATCACTCTCCTGGATCAGAGGATGAGAACAGAAACTGGCCTCATGCCTCTGACGGCACGAGACATGATTTATTAGTTGGGTAGCAAGGAGGCACGTCGTTCTGAGTGCTACGTGCTGTATAAACTCATACCAAGGGTCTTGCATTGCTTTGTTTGATATTTGCCCCTTGCATTGCAGATGAACAGGAAAGGCGGAACGACCCACAAGTATTTTCTGTCTCCCCTGTTTATGGTGTTTTGGAGGCACGTGAAGGGGACCCACCTACCAAAGAGATTTTGCGGATCAGCTTTACTGCAAGGTACAGTTAACAGTGCTGAAATCTCACCGTTACTCCCTGTCAAGCCCAGACTGACGGTGTGAGTAGTCACTGAAAGCAAAGAGCAATTCTGCACTGTCCTTGTGTTCTTGTCTTCCCAGGCTGCCCATTTTGCTTCTTATACTTGCCAGTCCTGGGCTTACAGCTGACATTTTTTCCATATAACCATGTTCCCTACACTGCTCCCATATATGGGATTTCTTTTGGATTTAGCATCCAGAATTTCAGACTCTAGATTTATCCACTCAGTATCATGCTGTTCCAACATGACACACTGACTACATACTGCTGGATAAAATCCCTTTCTTCAACAGAGGGCAAATCTTAGGCCTGTAATTCAGTGCAGAGGCTGATTCCACAGCTGAGCACTCAGGACTTTATTAGGACAGAAGAAGAAGTGTGCCTAGAGTAGTTCAGAATTCCAGGAAAGCATCTGTCTGTCATGCAGGAAAGTGCAATGTCTTTTGCAGTCAGTCTCACGGATCTGTCATTACAGTTTTTGTGGCTTCTCTCTAAAATACACTTTTTGAAGTCCTTTACTTCCCCACATGCATTCAAAGCTCCTCCTGATGAAGCAAACAGAGCAACACACTGTTCTAATGCAGTGGTACAATTTGTTTTACCCTTGCTTAGCTTGGTGCAATGTTTAGTGTTACAGTCATGTTGATGTTTAATGAGAAAGAAAAAAAATAACTATTTTTGTTGCCTCTAGTCTGAAGGTTTTCTACACAACAAAGATAATGTGAGCTGCAGGCAAATGACAGCAAAGTGCAGAAGAGAGATGAAAATTACTTTCTTTGTCCTATAAACATCTAATATTGTTCTGATTATGTTTATGGACATCTTATCATAACCTTTGTCGAGGCTCAGAATTAGTTGTGAATGGCGGAGGCAGTGCACCAAAGACTTTACTTTCTTTGCTCTGACTAAGGAGATGCAACTCCTGTAAGAAAATTCCACTTCCATTACAAATTATTTCCTTAGAAGTTATCACATGGTGGCAGAAAGTTTAAAAGACAAGTCTGTCATCCCAGTGGTTCCAGTGAACTGAACGCTGCTGATGGGGATGTTTCAAGAAGCAAACTACAGGTGACCTGAGTCACTGTCGGAACGTTGATCTCCCTGGAACACACTGTGAGATCTCCATCGCTGGAGCTACTGAAATCGCAGTGGGACAGAGCCTTGAGGAGCTGCTTTAAGCAGTGTGGTGGACCAAAGGTTTCCCCAGGCTCCTGACTACCTAATTTTTCTAGAGTGCTTCTGAATATGCCTGAGGGGCTGTGTGTTGTCTGGCAACACCATGCTGATCAGCATGCCTGCAAGTACCAGAAAACAAAGCTCCTCTGTTCTGCTCTAGGTGAAGAACTCCCAACACAGCAGAGCTCAGGACCAGCATGGCATTAGTAAATTAATTATATGCAAGGTGTGAGGTGATTTTAATAATTCACCTCCCTTTTAATCAGTGGTCTTCCTGCAGGGGAATTCTGTATGAGAAGGAAAAAATAAAAGTCTGGCAGAAGAGGCTCTTGCCTCGGGCCCTTACAACAGCCACCTCTTGGATGCAGAGAATCCTTCAGATGAACAGTCTCTGGAGCGTTGGGTAGCATCAGCCTTAGGCAAATTACACTGTAAGGCTCCCACTTAGTGCTAAGTCACACTTGCTGTGAGCTTTTTCATGTTCACTTACAACCTGGACTCCTTTGGCCACCCCTCATCTTAGGGGAGTTGGCAGAAACTTTTCTGTTTCAAACTGTTTCTGTCACCGGGATGAATTTTCACATCAAGGCAGCACAGGCTTTCGCTCCCAAACACCAGCTCCCAGCAGAGCTTCGTTTTATGTATTTAACTGAAATAGAATTTCCCAAGCAGGAAGATACTCAGGTTCTTCTTTCAAACATGAAGTTAATAATCCAATGTCCTTACTTCAGGTACAGACTGGACTGTTCTTTTCAAACATCCTCTCTGTCGCTGTGAGACACGACACTACGAAGTGAGATTGCTACCTGCACTCTCGCCACTAATGTTACAGACCAGTGCTTGTCACTAGGAGCAGTTTATGTCATGGAGCACCATTCTCCCCTTTTTCCTCCGCAAAGTAACTCATCTCATCCTTAAAAACAGAAATTGCATCCAGCTGTAACTGAAGTGTATTCTCACTCTCCATTTTAGGAGTGACATTGAATATGAAACTATTGTGACCATTACTGGAATGCTGGGAGAGAAGCCTTGCAAGCTACAGATCAAGGGGCGAGGAACCTACGATGGGAAGTATGAAGACCTGTATTTAATTTAAGCAAGACAATGTAGGAGAAATGTCAAGGTAATGGGTTGGATGCAGATGTGCCATCAGTTGAGCCTGTATTTTCATCTGCTTCAGTTGTTTTAATCTGGACTGGAATTTTAGCAGGCAAAAAGCTCATAGAACTTTATAGAAAACAGTCATACATAATCTCATTACGTGCTATTACTTTTACTGCTGTGATAAGCTTACCCTCACCCACAGAACGAGGCTCTGCAAAACAGTTGGGTTTAAATGGCAGAGCAGCTCTGGTCACTGTTAGGCCAAAGCCCTCTGCACACCACAGTGTGCCTCAAATTACCACTAGAGTGTTCATGCCTTAAAAAGCAGCTTTGGTCTTGCCTTGTTTATTTGTTTGACATTAAAACGGACATTGACACATAATAAAAACAAGAATTAGTGAACAGGCCGGCATTCCCTGGGCTCCTTTTTCAGTGCCTGACATGAAAGGCAGAAGAGCCAACTTTCCCTGGACTCCTTGGAAAATTACGAACCTGTGTGTTTCATCATGCTTGGGTATTGAGAACATCCCCTTCTGCCACAGAGGGAGGAACCCTTCTTCCTTTTAATTCTTTCTCCCCACATGGTTCCCATTTACTCACACTTCTCTTTAAATGTTTTTAGTATTACTTTAGCTAAAGGTCACTGAAACTCCCACTTCTGAGCCCGTTAAGTTTTCCACTCCCATCGTATAAAAAGTTTTTGTTAAAGGCAGTGTGTGGGGGGAGGAGGGGGCTACAATCCACACTGGAGAACAAAAGATGCAGGAGAGCTGCCTTCTGCCTAGTTTAGAACAGACTTTACTAGCACCGAGAATTCATTTTGTACACAGGAACCTCTGTGGGAGAAAAGGATCCTCAAAAGATGCCAACACCTCTCTGCCCCCTCTAAATTAAATTATTATTTAATCTTTTTTGCTCTAAAATGCACCATGTGTGATTGCTGAGTGAGGGAGATGGGCCACAGAACCAGAATGTGGGAATATAAAGTATCTCTCAGAGCTAATCACAACCTTCAACGACCAACCATCATAAAAAGAACACAAAGCTATTGCAAGGACCCAATTGTATTATTAAGTGCAAAACCACGAGCCAGGACAAAGAACTCCAGTCTGTGTTACAAATTTGAATTTTTCTAACATGTCAAAGCCGATGAGTGCATTTCTTTTGCAAGCTGTTAGCTCTGAGTTTCAGCGATCTGATGATTCCTTATGAGAGGAAGAACAGGTAAGGGAGAACTTTACAAGATGAAACGTATATTTTGCTGATGTTCACGTAGTGCTTGCAGTAAGAGTAGTGCTGACATCTGTTTTATGTTAGGTAAGTAAATATTATGACGCATAAGCTCGTCTTCTAACTTAGAGTCACACAGGCTGAAAATTAAAAACATGTTGTAAAAGATGGGACAGCCACTTTCAAACTCCTGGCTTCTAGCAAATCACCAAAACGTGTCTATTCAGGCACCTTGACGGTTGGTTTGTAAATTAGTTTCTAGTCCTTCCACTTCCCCTCGCTGGAGGCTTCCGAGCAGCTTGGTTAGAAGTTGAAAGCTAAAGCACATCCTCCAGCACATGGACAACGTAAGGCAGAGCCAACGTATGACTTGGAAGGGACAGAGCTGTAAAGGTGTTCAGTCTTTGCACTGCTTTCAAAACAAGCTGTCCCAGGCTTCCTGCGAGACGGTGAAACCCTGGAAAAGCCTTTTTGTGTGCACTGCTGTTTTCATTTTGAGTAACTGTTTTAGACAATTTGTCCTACAAAAATACTGTACCATGAACAACTACCTCTGACAATATTCACAGAATGATGGGATCGATTGGATTAGAAACATTCATTCATCATCACCACACAAGGGCCTGTAGTTGAACTTCGACTGAACTCATTTCTCATGCCAGGATACTTTCCAGCTCTGAAGCAAATGCCTGGTATGCATTTTCCCACCTGCTTAGTAGATCTGTACGATTTAATTCTGCTTTGCACTTTGTGCCCAAAGTTTGTAGACCCAGTAATGAATCCCCGAATCCGCTTGATTTCCCAGTGCAAATCATTTGCTATTTCTAGAGAAGGCAGAGAACTGGCTGTTGGGTTGTTTCGCCAGGACACTGGAGTTCAGTTCCCTGGGTACTCAAACACTGCCGCAGCGCCCATGCCAGTTCCAATGCACATGGATACAACACCGTATGCTCTGAAATGAAAGGACATATGGAATTAAGAAAGACAGATCAGGTTTAGATCATCTGGGGGGGGAAAAAAAAAAAAAGTACAATAAATTTGAGCTGCCCACTGCTCAAGAGACTAACTCTGCAGCAGGTCCTGGTGCCCTGGAGTTCTTGCAGGGTGGTGTTTGTAGAGCACGTGGACACACATTCTCTGCCTGCTTTCTGGAGAGGAACTGTGTGCCAGAAGCAGCTCCAGAGCTGCCTGCCTCCGACACACTGGCAGCGAGGTTGAGCTAGGAGAACTACTTTGATTCAGATGTGTTGAGGAAGAAACTCTTCCCTTCCTGCCCCGTACTGCTACCCCTCACATGGCTTTTCTATGTAAAAGTTCAAGGTAAATATGGATGATCAGATGGTGTGCAGGAGCATTTGTGGAAAAACAGAGTGGAAAGCCTGATTTCAGAGCAAGTTCTTCCACTTCAGTTTGAGGTGGTTTATCATTACTGCCCGATTTGCTCAGCATTTAACAACTTGCCGTCACTGTTACCCTCCCCTAAGGAGCAGTCCAGTGCCACCGTATGTGCCAGCCCCCAAGGGAGCAGTGACAGAGCCAACCAGCAGTAGCTACAGGGTTTCTTCCACACGTCAGGAAGAGTCCCGAGCCCTGGGACTGAACTCTCACAAAGCCCAGTGCAGCCTGGCCCTGCGGAGCCACCAGCTCTGACTACTGACTGCTGCTCTAACACTGCACAGTAGAGATGTCTACTCCAGGGCCCTGCAGCACCAGGAAAGACTCTGCATCCATGTGCAGCAGACATTACACAGCCCTCCCTAAAGAGCCATCGGAATTCATGTTCAAAGCTATCAAAGGGGTGGAGAAAGCTTACCCCAAGCTGATGGTTACTTCTGAGCATGTTACGTACGTTTAAGGCATTATGACTAATGCTGTTCCTCAGTGCTCACCTTTTCCCTCTGCGCTTCAGTTCATGGAGCAAAGTGACAACTTGACGAGCACCAGTACAGCCCAGTGGGTGCCCCAGTGCTATTGCTCCTCCCAGGGGGTTGACCTTCTCCATGGGAATGCCCAGCTTTTCCACACAGTACACAGCCTAGACAGACAGAGGGAATAAGTTTCACGGAGATGCTCTCACCTCCTGGAACAGAGAGCAAAGAGGACTGCAGAGAAGACTGGTGATCTCAGAGGGACAGCAAACCATTCTCAGCAGCTCTAGGGGCTTCAGAAGATTTGTGCTTAATATGAATTTAGCTCAAAACTACATTTGTTATTACAAAAACTCCACATCATTGTGTCAGCAACTCCGAGGCCTGACTCCAGCTAGGCCATCTTTTCCAGTAGAAACAAGTGGGACAACATTACAAACCCAAAGCACACAGAAATGAGCTAAGCCTATCAAGTTCATCTTAAACCAAGCCCACGTACTTTCTGACAGGCACGTCAGAGATTTGTGCAAGACACAGCAGTGAAGTTTCTACCTTTCATCAAGGGGTGCAACACGTCCACACTGACACCACCTGATAACAAATCACAGCAGCCCTTGTGAAACACGTTTTGCAAGTTGATATGAGGATATGATAGTCAAGGTGACGTTCTTATTTGGCAGACATATATTTTTCTCTTTTGGTTTGGTTTTTAATATTAAGCTGTATAAGCAATGCTCTGCTTATTTTTATTTGCAGAAAAGGGAAAATTGTCTGCGCGTGTTGTTAACATTTGGCTGAAGATGTAATATGTGGAACGAGTTCAAATCTTAATTTGGAGACCAAGCTGAAACACGCTCAGCTACCAAACAATGGAGCAACTCAAACATGATCATCACTCACCTGGCTTGCAAAGGCTTCATTAATTTCATATATATCGATGTCATTCAGAGTCAGACCTACAGATCAGAGAAGTCAGGGTTTAAAAAGGAGATATTTTTGCCTTATATCGAAGAGAATAATTCACTCACAGCCTCCCTTTATGAATTCTAGTTCTACTCCACCAATGACAAAAAGAGGGGACCTTGGCTCCACGTACGGTATCTACACTCGTGCACATCTAAAGACTGCAAAACGTCACAGCTCCTGGTATGGCACCACGGAGTTTGCCAAGTTTCCTTAGATTAAATGTAATTTCTTTGCAGAGGGATTCAAGATTGAAGGGTATTGCGAGACTGAAAGATAAAACTATGGGTGAGCATGTGACCATAGCCATGACAGGTGGACCCAACAATAATCATCAGCCATAAAAACTATTTAACCCGATCCGTATGACATGGATCTCTTTTAAGGTTTGGAATTTAAGTTCACTGTTCCTATGGCTGATAGCTGCCCACTCCAGAATAACGTAATTTCGAATTTCAGGCCATAGAGTCTGATCTGCCTCGTGCCAAACAGCGCACAAACCACGAGTGGTCCTTACCCGCCTTCTCCACAGCAACAGGGATTGCGTAGGCTGGTCCTATGCCCATAACATCGGGCGGGACTCCCACCACAGCAAAGGACCTGAGAACGCCCAGGACTGGGAGCCCCAGTTGTGCTGCTTTTGAGCGTTTCGCCAGGAGAACAGCAGCTGCTCCATCACTGACCTGGCTGGCATTCCCTACCAGAAGAGAGCTATTAACACCTTTTTTGCCTGAGCATGTTCTATTACAAGGCAGGTAAAGCATAGGAGCAACAAAAATTTAACATCACAGCTCACCTGCTGTAGTGCTACCATCCTCTTTGAAGGCAGGCTTCAGCTTTGCCAAGCCTTCCAGAGTCGTGGAGGGCCTAATCCCTTCATCTTGGTGCACGGTGATTGTTTTCTTGTCACCCTGATTATCTACAACAGTGGTCTTCACTGGAACAATCTCAGCTTTAAACAGTCCCATCTGCTGAGCTTTTGCTGCTCTGTTAAAGAAGAAAAAGTATGAAAGGTTAAAATATTCTGGAGGTGAATTGCAAGAGCACTGATGTCAGGGAAACCAGTTAGTAAGGGAACGAACTCAGGTGTGACCTGGTACACAGGTACGTCATCACTGAGTAGAGGACAGGAAGGCAGGTAAGTATTTATTTCCATTCATGGGAAGACAACCTTCTTATCTCTACATCATGGGAAATATATCACTAACATTATGGGCATTTCACCCCAAACCTGGGTCACAGGATCACACACTTCTGAGCAAGATCCCCTTGTGACTGACTGACCACCACCATCAGCCACAGCATGAAGTTGTACCTGTCCAGTGACACGGTCACATCACAACCGTAAGAAAATAATGAATCCTGATGTTCAAACATCAGTTCTTATTTTTGAGTTTAAACAGGGCAAGTGGGCTAAGCCTCCACATAATGCTAATAATTTCTGACAAGTTAAGGAATGGCTAAATTTTCACCCATTCCTGGTTTTGTCCTACTAAAGATGAGCTTTAGACCACAGACTTCAGGTATAACCTTCCAGCATTTAAATGTAACCTTTCCACCCTAAATGACTGCAATTTACGTTGCAGAGCTCAGTGGGACTACGTAGAGGGGAATCACTCAATTTAGCAGTAAAGGTGTGGTGAAGACAGGACCTGCTCCCTGAGACAACAGCATCAGCAGGAGGGAGCGACTGACATGATCAGACTGATACAAGTACACAGAATGCAATTAGCTAAATTAGCATTAGCCCAGGACACACAGTTTTAATTTTTCACATCAACAGGGTATTTAAAAGCCTCCACAGCAGAGCTGATATGGAAGATTTACCTTCCAGCAGCAGAGCACCCGTTACAGGGAATACAAATTGGAGACTGAAAGCTTGTTTTACCCCCTCATCACTTTACACTTTAACTAATAAAATGAAAATATCTAATACTGCCAGGTAAGCGAGTGTTAGAGCAAAGTGCTGAAGGACAGATCAGGAACTCCACGGACACCCTGAGACTGAGGCCAGAAAATCGCCCCTTTCCTCACGGAGAGGCGAGGACGGCGTTCACATACCCTTCTGCGTTATCAGTTCAACGCCAGTGAGAAAGGCTGGCATGCCAAGTTCCCCAGAAGCAGGGCCAGAACGTAAAGGTTAACTGGCCTGTGCAGTGGCTTCCTGCATTAGATAAAAAAATTGGACCGGGGCGACGCTTGAACAGAGCTCTGCAAGTTAGTTTAACTCTTTGACGGCAGCAACTTCGACATATCGCCTGACACTGGGCTGCCAGTATAGCCCTGTGGATTCCAGGGGCCAGTTTACTCTGGCAGTGATTTAACTTAAAGGAAGGTTATTAGAGGTAGGATTGGACTCACTTGGAGCCAAACACCTGCAGTGAAGACAAGCCACTCTTCTCATAAGCTCGGCAGTTCCCCAGAAACAGCTACATTTCAACATTCCCTCTCAGAAAAGGTTCCTTCTGCTGTCACTCCCCCTGTTCAGTTTCCAATGACACTGAGCCAAAGCTACCGTGAAAATACTGCACCAAACCTGACAGAGGTTGTGTCCTTTGGACACTGAAAAGCACAGAGGCATTCATTGCCCACAGCTCGCATGCCCAGTGGTACGTGTGCCAGGGCAGCCACACAGTCTCCAGGACAGCTCTGGACTCAGCTTTCCTTCTCACACCACTCGGGGCACGCACTGGTCTTCGCTCTGACATCTCGAGCTTCTTTACTCACTGTTCGGGTTTGGAAGGCCACACAAAGGCTGCACTTAACCAGCTCTGGGAAGTAGCAATGCATTTTTGATCTGCATTTATCCCTAAACTAAGAGGTTTAAAAAAAAAAAATAAATAAATAAAAGGCATTTACTTTTGTTGGGAAGCCAAGGCAAAGGCATCTTGCTTCTTTCGGGAAACTCCAAACTTCTCTGCCACATTTTCTGAGGTTATTCTGGGGGGAAAAAAAAAAAAAAATAAAAAAATCACAGACTGAATCCAAGGACACAGCTAATGGAGCTGCAGTTGGCTTCTACTAAGACAACACAAGGTACAAGCACTGGCATTAGTCTCAAAGGTAACTGCTGCCTTCTCAACCTAGAACTGCTTGGCAGAAGCAAATCCAGAATCAAATCAAGGAACGAGGTTCAAATCCACCTTCACTGCTCATTAAGCCATTGAGCTTAAGACAAGGAAATCTTTCATCAGAGTTGCTGATCTTCCCCACACTTCACATAATTAATCTTCTACCACAACCAAGGAGGATGCCAACACATACAGATCAGACTGGATTCAGATTGATTTGAAACAATACGGTCACTGAGGAGGCAGAGCACCTAGAAAACCCTGAAACTTTGGGAAGAGGAAACACTTACCCCATAGGAATAAGGCAATCTCGAGCTTTGCTGTTTTCCATCATGCGGGAACTGATATCACCAGGGTTATTTCCACTCCCGAGGGACATCGTTTCCACACTAAACACAAGAAAAATTGGAATTTGCTACCAGCACTTTCCCACTACATTGGTGGTAATTGCTCAGTTAAGACTGATCCCAACTCAGTATCCTGACCACATACCTTCCTACCACCCTACAGAAATGCCGCCAATAATTACGAACTGCCTGAAGCAGAAGCTCTTCGATCACCCATTACCACAAAATGAAAACAGATTGTTAGATGGGATCGGTCCTTGTTCCACTAAGGACAGGATGCCAATGTCAACAGTTAACTTCTCTTGCTTCCACAGCCAGGAAGGAAACTCCAATGATTCCGGCACTTTTGTCCTCAAGCATAACCGAAGGTCCTAGGAGTGGAGTTGCCAGCGAGACTGCCAACGGCCATAAAAATGCCACTTACAGCTTAAGAACTGGTTGGTGGTATAAGTATTAAGCAAAATATTATGCCATTTGCATTTCCCAACAGAAAGGATTTAAGCCACGGATCCCAGAGGCTGCAGTCTTTCACCTACAGATGAGTCAACAGATTGAAGACATCCACTTGTCCTGCACAAACACCCAGCCCTTGCTTCTCACTAGCGAGCTTCTGTAAAGTCAGTCTAGATCATGAAGTCTACGATGGGAGGAGGGTTTGAATTTTACTCTGCACCACACAAATACACTCATGAAGGGTCAGTAACAAAGGGACTATTCCTGGAAAATGCAAAACAAGTGGAAAATAAGGCTTCTTGGAGAGGGGCTTTTTACAAGGGCATGTGTGACAGGACAAGGGGCAATGGATTTAAACTGAAAGAGGGGAGACTTAGATTAGATATAAGGAAGAAATTCTTCACTCTGAGGGTGGTGAGGCACTGGAACAGGTTGTCCAGAGAAGTTGTGGCTGCCCCACCCCTGGAAGTGTTCAAGGCCAGATTGGATGAGGTTTTGAGCAACCTGGTGTAGAGGAGGGTTTCCCTGCCCATGGCAGGGGGGTTGGAACTGGATGATCTTTAAGGTCCCTTCCAACCCAAATCATTCTGTGATTCTTCCCAAGCACCTTACTGTAAGTCCTACCAAGAATTTAAACTAGCTCTAACATGGGACGCTGCATTACCTGACTTCAGCTGCATCTGCTCCCTGAAGGAAGGTACGGAATCAGGTTTTAAGTAAGGGCAAACCACAGCTACTGCGTTTTGTGTTGTTGTCCAGTATCTACCTGCAGAGCGGGCGAGTCCACTCAGAGGAAGAGTATGACTTGGGATAAACCCAACTCACAAAAGCTACTTGTAACACATGGATTTTACGTCTTCGTAGAGGACTCCGTAGGGTAGAGGCCAGAAAACTTCCCACAATGAAATGTGGTGGCTCACACAAAGGCTGGATCTCAAACTCCTTGAGCCTTTCAGTACCTTCAAGGGTATCATTTTGGTGGACACTGCCAAGCAACTTCTTGAAATACTTCTATTAGAGTGAAAAGCATCACACACTCAATCGGAAGCGTTCCCCGTGAGCACCAAGTGCTCAGCCCACATCAGAGGAACACACCTGCTTTGCTGAGCTGTTTATTTCGCAGCAGTCTAAGAAGGGCGTTCTCAGCATCAGATGTTGCTCAACCAAGTATGTGCAGGTGCTGAGAAGCTGTAAATATAAATGTTTTCCCAAGGGCTACCAGATGACTGTGTACGGTAATAATTCAAGGAAGACTTGGAGTTACCAAGGTAAAGAAAAAGAGAAACACAATATTTTCACCTCAGGATTACTGAATACTTCTTTTGTTATTTGTTCTTCTGAAGTGAATATGCCTGTGGTCACCAGTATTGCTCTAAAGCCAACTTAACATTTACATAATCCTCTAAAAAATAAACACTTCTTATGAAGTTAGGACAGAAGCAAAGAACAGCATGCCCGTCCACTGCCGAAGAACATCTCCCGTTAAGTCTGCAGAACAGTTACCAGTCTGGGTAGGGCACTGATGTCTTTATCCAAGACTGCTGCTGAAATTCTAAGGCACCAGTTCATCAGAGATGAGTTAAAAAGCTAATCATGGCAGGTTCTTTCAGGCTGTCAGAGCTCTGCACACAAGTGGTATTCTACAGCAGAGCCAGGGGACCCTAATAAAGCAGGCTTTTGTATGCTTGTAGCAGATACTCAGCCTCTTACTGCAATCCCAGCAGATGTGTCACCAAGATCAAAACTTCCAGTGGAATTAAAGGATTTTCAAGCTCCCTCTTTCAGACCCTTTAAGACCTGATGTTCTGCAAAAGTACTCAGCAGCCTCTGGACATACACGAGCTGCATCTGCAGCCGCCATTTAAATTCAGGTCCTAATTTTAGAGTTTATTCACCCGTTTGTCAAATGAGGGAGGACAGCACCTATTTCCTTGAGAGGCACAGATCTGGTTGGAAGGGAGTTCCGCTTCCCCACACAAGAACTATTGCACAGGGACTGAGCGCTGCTTTCAGGCAGCTGAAGCAAGTGCCGTAAAGAGACATTCTTACCCGCAGGCCAAGCCGATGTCATACGATCCATTTCGGATGCCACCTGTAACAGCAGTGCATAAACATCCTTACTGTCATGAGGAGCAAAAGCACTTCTGTTCCAGCTGCGGTTTCATGGACAGCTGAGGCACCCGCTACCCGCGAAAGGTGCACTCCTGCCACCCTCCTGCCTGCCGGAACGTGAGCCAGGTCGAGGAGCTAAGGGGCTGAAGACTAACCATAACCTGACATGAGACCAGAGAGGGTGGGAAGGACCCTTCTAGAAGGTGCCTGATGTGGAAGAACTTATGGTAGAACTTATCCTCAGAAAACCAAGTTAATTCTCTAAGGGTGAACTCAGCCCCTCAAGGATATAAAAGTATTCGGCTAACAACATACTGAAAATTCCTAACAGCAGAAGACACTGTCACTATTTTTATTGCTCTGAGAGATTAGAGGACAGGAGAAAGGAGCACTTGGGGGGTGGCAGGCATTGACTCGGACCAGAGTGCCCACAACACTTACCAGCTATATTGATAACGGCCTGTAGCCCAGAGGAGCACTGCCGGTTGACGCTCGAGCACGGCACCGTCTCTGGAATACCACTAGAAAACAACACAGTGCTGGTAAAGGCTCAGCGACAGACACCACGCAACAAACCAAACCTCTGAAGACAGCACTGAGCCACTCAATTAAACTTTAACCCTCCAGATGAAGACAGATCCTTTTATACATTTGTTGACCTAGTTGGTCCTGCACCAAGAGAAAGCAAAGTTCACGGATGATTTCCAAACTCGATTTGCAAGTGGCTCTGAGTGTTGTTTACCCACAGATCTGTCTTCAGAAGGGCCTCTGTGGGCAAGGCCCTCTCGTGTGCCTACTTCCCAAGCTCTGATGGGGCCAGAAATACTGAAAAACTCTGCAGTATTCATCATTACCAGTGGGTTGTGTCTGCACCTCTCCAAAGTGCTGTCTGTAAACTGATTTATGGAAGCAAACATCAGTTGGCAATAGACATCGGCTGAAATATTTGGAAGCTGGGATCCACCTCAACATGAGCCACCGACCACAAACCCCAGGAAATGAACAGAGAGACCTGAGACAACTCCATGGTTTCAGGCCCACACAGAGCAGACAGAAGCACAACCTTGCAGCACGGAGAAGCAGCAGGTACAGCTGGAAGCCCACGAAACACCATCTCCTCTTCAGAGGCTCAACACGTCGCCCAAACAGATCGATGGGCCTCAGCTCTGCCTCCCTGCCCTTCGACAGCAGGGTTCTCCAAACCCCATCATGGTTCTCCATACACACGATCAAAGTCTAATTTCTAGGTAAAGGATGATTTGCCATAACTTCCTAGGGGGGCATCAGCCTCATTGCAACCTCTGACCCAGTGCTGCTCCGTAGCCAAGGCCTGAGAAAGGCAGGAGGAACCTTGATCCGGTTCAGAGTTTACCTGAGAAACTGTGCAACTCTTGCAATCAAAGCACCAGCTCCAGGCTGCAGCACGTTTCCTGAGTGCAAAGACACGATTCCAGTCAATCAGGTGCAGTTCCCTCGCTACTCACTGTGGGCACCGAAGGGATGGTAACATCTCCACAGCTTGGTACCATCCGGCACCCAGATCAGAGCCCCACCGCTTGACAGAACAGTCTTGGAGGACATACTGATCGCATAAACCCAGTGCTACACACCGACCCCTTCTCACCCCATAATCATGGAATCTCAGAATGGTTTGGGTTGGAAGGGACCTCAAAGATCATCTAGTTCCAACCCCCCTGCCCTCCCCTACACCAGGTTGCCCAAAGCCTCATCCAGCCTGGCCTTGAACACTTCCCAGGATGGGGCCTCTACAACTTCTCTGGGCACCCTGTTCCAGTGCCTCCCCCCCCTCAGAGTGAAGAATTTATTCCAGAGCAGCCTGTCCCAGAGAGCTATCCAAACCAGAAGTTTCAAGTCTGGACAGAGGTTGTTCACTCACCAACACAGATATCTCCCAGGGCCTCGGGACGAAGGTTGACATCTTGAAGGACAGCCATCATAACAGCAGACAGCAGCTCATCAGGCGTTGTGTCCTGAAAGCACTGGGGATTAGCGCTACTTAAGGAACACCGGGAACTGCCCTGTCACCAGCTCACCCTCAGACTACTTCAGAGAGCTGGTGCGTGATGCTTAGACAGCTCTGCTCCACCTCTCAGCTCGTGATCGTTGTTGTTTTCCGATAAAAGCAGAGTTATTCCGTATGGTTTTCACCCCAGGCATCTTCCAAGCGCTGCTAACACACGCTGCTTTCTTACCCAGCTTGATTTTACGGGAGCGCGCTTGGCAGGGCCTTCGGAGCCCGACAACGGCAGCGAGCCCCGTCACGGGACTCCGCGAGTGAATCTCCGGAACCCTTTTGTGAAGGAGACACGGTGACCTCTCGGCTGGTGGGAGGCCCCGCGGGCACGACAAGACCTGTGCTGAAGGATGGTGGCAAAAGGGCATCCTGGCACGGCGCTCCTGCCTCAGTCAGAGCCCCCGGGCTCTGCGCTTGCCATCCAGCATGGAAAACGGTCGCTCTACGAGAAGGGCAGCAGGCCCATGCCGAGCGCTGTCGGTACCGGAGCACGGGCGGCCGCGGTCCCGGGGGACCGTGTGCATAGTTGCGCACTCA